AGTGATGGAATAAATAATGAAACTTAGTGATTGGTCAGGAACTAACTTTGTCATAAACAGTGATGGAATAAATAATGAAACTTAGTGATTGGTCAGGAACTAACTATAATAAACAGGGATTGAATAGATAATGAAACTTGATTGATTGGTCAGAAACTAACTTTGTAATAAACAGGGACAGAATATATTATAAAACTTTGTGGTTGGTCAGGAACTAACTATCATAGACAGGGATGGAATAGGTACTGAAACTTTGTGATTGGTCAGAAACTAACAAGAAGTGGAGAAGGACATGGTTAAGGATGGGGATGACAGACAAAAAGAAAAATAGTGTAGCTTTTAAGGTAAAGAAAAATTAAATATGTTTGAAATAAAATGCTTAGGAAATTAAATGACACAACATTTCTCGTGTTCACAGAAAATGTCATTTTCTTTGAGAATTTCAGTATCTGAAACACAATGTCCATACAATATAGTAGGTTAAGATATTTTATTTCTATACCAGTTTTCTCTGGAATGATCTCCAAGTTGGTAGCTAGTTTACCTCCATAAATAGCAGGGCAACATCTGCAATGTTTCAGTGTATAAGGTTTGATATTAGAAATACAACTGGGTGACAAGTAATACTTGATAACACTTTAACTGAAAATACAGTAAACACATACTAGTTATGCAGAATGATCTGTTGCAAGAAGAATTACAAGAATCAGTAAGATCTTTCTCTCTCGCTGTACTGTAACACATAGTCCTCATCTTGCCCCCTTTTTGTCATTAAGACATCCAGCTGGAATCATAATACAGGTATCCTTATGTATGAATTCATTATCATCAAACTTTATTGGCTATTTGTGGTGAGAAGTGTCTGTAAGACAGAGTAAATGGTAGTTGTAAGTCAGGGTAATTGTGTCTTGCCTTTTTTGGAAGATAATTGTTATGTGATTACATTTGGCATATTTAATGGCTGTGTTGGAAATACAATCAGGATATCCTCTGTTTTTAAAAGGTTTAAGTCTGTGTGTTATATGAGGCTTAACTTTACATGTACTAAACTTGTGCAGTACAGTGGAGCTATAAATTTGTAATGGACTCAAATTACAATTCAGTATTTTCAAATGAAAACCTTCACCTGGAGGAAATTTCAAATTAGGGTAACTGATAATACCATGCAGATTTTAATGATTTCGAGATGCAGTTCTGAAGACATTATCATTGCAATGGCATAAAAGTTTTGATTTCATGTCATTACAATACGAAGAAAATAAGTTTTTCTATCCTACTAGGAAATATGTTGGTAAATTTGCTCTTATTTTTCTTTCCTTGCCAAGTCTAACCACCGATTACACCGTATTTGAACTTTTATAAATAATTTTCAACTTACTTTCTCAGCAAACTGTGGTTACAGAAATTAATAATTGCGTGTATCATTTTGATTTCTCGTTTTATCATTTTTGCTTTCATTGTTCTATCACCCATACTTTTACTACTGCTTTTTTCTTCTTTTGGTGATTTTAGGCTAACCAGAAAAATTCAATAACCATTGGTTACATGTGTTCCATTATACATCCACTCTCTAAACCTCTTTTTATAATAACATGTAATTCTGTTAGATTCTAACCGTGATCATCTTGTACTTTGTTTTAACCATGATCATCTTGTACTTTGTTTTAGCTGTGATCATCTTGTACTTTGTTTTAGCTGTGATCATCTTGTCCTTTGTTTTAAGTGTGATCATCTTGTACTTTGTTTTAAGTGTGATCATCTCGTAAATTGTTTTAAGTGTGATCATCTCGTAAATTGTTTTAAGTGTGATCATCTCGTAAATTGTTTTAAGTGTGATCATCTCGTAAATTGTTTTAAGTGTGATCATCTCGTACTTTGTTTTGATCGTGATCATCTCATACTTTGTTTTAAAGATGTTGGAAATGGATCATCTAAAGATTCAAAGAAATCATCCTCATCTAAATACTTGTAAAGATTGTTCTTGTAAACTATAATATAATATTCAGGATTTTTGTAAATGCATGTGTATTTACCTTAGATGAAATGTGTTTATTTAACTCGGGATACTTGTGTTGTTGAAAATCTCTAACTTTGAATATCTGATGTGTTCTTTTACTGTAGAGGCTACAGAAGCAGTAAAAAATGGAACAGTTATAGATGATTCAAAGGATTTAGTTCATCAAGAAGAGGCATCAAGCAGCAAAGAACCTAATGGTCATGAAGAGATCCGAAGGAGGCGTTTAGAAAAGTTTTCAAAGCCTTTAGAAAACTGTGGTCCACAAGAAACAAGTAATGAAAACTGTGGTCCACAAGAGGGAAATCATGAAACAAACTAGTAGTAAATAGTTTCATAAATGTGAACTATGGTGATCAGATGAGGCAAAACACGTTTTGTCAGTTATTTTTCGGTTACTTTTTTGGTCTTGAATACTTACTCTGCTGTTAGAACTAAATTAGTTTTCCGTGTTTTATTCAAGATCTGTATCATGTTTGCTTTAGAGGTGTGGTGTTCAGTAGTCTTTATAATGATTGTATTTTCAAAAATTGTCTTGTGATGAAGCTAATGTTTTGTATATTTTTTCCACTGCTGGAACTGTTAAAGCAAAATGCATGAAGGCTGTTAATTCCTTTCTTTCGAGCCTTATCCAACTCAAGATGCCTTCCCTTCATACTGTATTCTTTTCTATTTTGTTAGTCTCTATAAAAATTAAAGAACAGTCTTTATTTTAATGCATTTTGTTTCATTAAAAAATGACATGAAATTGTAAAAATGAATAAATCTGTGGAATGTGATAAGATTGGTTTTTTCTGTATGCGGACAATTTAATGATTCATAGCAGCCATATAAGGAGTGTTATTGTTATATGATTTAGTACTGATTTGCTTGTACTGCTTTGTACACAATCATATCTTATTTCATGAGACCCTAGAGCAGTGGCTCTTAACCTTTTTTGCTCCATGTCCCACGTCGAAACATATGATGCCCCCTTAATATAACTAATTTGGTGTTGAAAAGGTATAATAATATAATGTAAAATTTAGAAATTTACCAAAATTTCACAACCAAATGAAAAAATTTTCTTATTGTAGCATTTTCAAATTGCCCCCCCTTTGGGGCGTGTGTTCCACATTCAGAATCACTGGTATAGAGTGACCTGATTGTTGACCACCTTACTTTTTAAGAGTAACACACAAGTACACATGTAGCGACACCAAGCAGAAACTATTAAAACTGAACTTTATTAACAAATTACTAATGGTATTGAGCAAGTTAATTTTTATTCATTTTGGAAGAATGGTACTAAGAATAAACCTTGATAATTTTACAAATGTTTTTTATGATAAAATATACACATGCCTATGATAATGTTGATATCAAGAAGTTAGATGTTTGTAATTATTATCACTGTTCTTTTTAGAAGCTCCAATAAATTATCTTTTAAGAATACCATAAAAAAGTGGTATCCTTCTAGGGTTTCCATTAGGTTAAATGTTAACACTTGCAGAATTTTGCAGTGTTATAAATTAGAATTTGATTTGTTTCAGAATTTTTTTTGTATTTGTAATTTTGAGGGCCACACATAGCTTAGTGGTTAGTGATCCCTGACTGTAAATCTGAGGGCTCATGGTTCGCTTCCATTTGCACCCAAAAAAATGTGCTCTGTACTTTGTAGCATTGGATGCACTATAAGGATAATGGTCAAATCTCACTATTCAGTCAGACAACAGATGACCTTTCTTCTAGACTTTGAGTTAAAAATTATGGTTGGCTTTGGGCTGATCACACCCGAGTAACATTTCTCTAACATGCTAACCAAACAAGATAGAAATTATTCATATTTTCTTAAGTGTAGTGAATACTACATTGTTTTAAAAATTAAATTACATAAAGAAAATTGATTTCTAATACATTGTGAATTAAAAACAATTTATTGATGATACAGAAGTCTTAAAGATACTAAAAGAAAAAATTAAAAACGTGGAGATTGGTAACTGTTATTGTGTGATGTGACTGTGTTATAAAAGGAAGTCTCACTTACACTGGTTTACTATGTTTTCTATTTATAAACGCTTGCTACTTTCATCCGATCAACTGACACTCCTTACATATGAATGTAAGAATAATTTTTTTTTAAACAGAAGTTATCACGCTAATGTGTAATTACAATACTCCAGATCGCAAATTAAGCTTTGATAATAATCTGAAGACACATAACTATGACGTGGAAAAGGAATCTGGTTCAGAACACAACTTAAATTTACTTATTGACAAAAGTCTGGCTACTGGTTTTGTTTCTTCTTCCCGACCGTGTTACCGGTTGATAATAAACTCCGTATGTAGTTATCAGTAAAAACTAAATATCCCCAGCCAGAGAGCTGAAGTGTGTTTAGTGTTGGTTATATACCAAACATACTCGCTTTTACATCCGCGGGGGTGTTATAATGTGACGGTCAATCCCATTATTCGTTGGTAAAAGGGTTGGTGGTGGTGTTAAGCCACTTTTCCTCTAGTCTATCGGTGCTAAATTAGAAACGGATAACCCTTTGTGTAAAATTCAAACTGAACCCATGACTGCTTTTCAACAATGAATCCTAGGGAGGAAGAGATTATCATACCACCAAACACTAAATCGATCAGCAACAATGAACCAAGTGCAGTAATAACACGTGTCAATGTTTTCTTTCATATTGCCCGGCATGGCCAGGTGGATAAGGCGCTCGACTCACAATCTGAGGGTCGCGGGTTCGAATCCGCATCCCACCAAACATGCTTGCCCTTTCAGCCGTGGGGGCGTTATAATGTGACGGTCAATCCCACTATTCGTTGGTTAAAAGAGTAGCCCAAGAGTTGGCGGTGG